AGAAACCAAGAGGGAGCTGTCAGCCCTGGTTGGTGGGGGAACCCAGGTGGGGTCAGTCCTGAGAGGTTCCTTGGGGCAGAACCCACCCTGTAATCATCCACTCAAGGGGTTGCCTGAGAATGATGGCATAGGCAGGCCATGGGGGATGGTCCTGGGGAGGGGGTGCTAGGGTGACTCATGGGCACTGCCCTCTGACACATGCTCTTGTGGGATGGCTAAAGTGAACCCCCAAATACTGCACTGCAATGAAGAAAGGCGCCTGGGGAGGGTGCCTCTGCCTGGGGCTGTTGGGGCATCAGGTTGCTGGGGTGGGGGGATGGGGGGGTCCAGTTGTAAGAGCTAAAGCTGCAAAACTGTTAGAAGAAAACAGGGGGGCATCTTCACGGCCTCGGGCTTGGCAGTGATCGCCTGGATATGACACCAAAAGCACAGGCAACAAAAGAAAAGAAAGATAAGCTGGACAAATTAAAAATGTTGCTGCATCAAGAGTGTGAAAAGGCAACCCACAAAACGGAAGAAAATATTTGCCAATCGTACATTAGAATTAATATCCAGAATACATAAAGAACTCTTACAACTCAACAACAGAAAAACCCAAACAGCTCAATTTAAAAATGGGCAAAGGACTTGAACAGACGTTTCTCCAAAGAAGATACAGGAATGGTCCACAAGCCCGTGAAAAGATGCTCAACATCACTGACCACATTAAAACCCAATGAGACGCCACCTCACACCCATCAGGACAGCTGCTATCAAAACCCCCAGAGATGACAAGTGTTGGGGGGGGGCGTGTGGAGAAGGTGGAACCCTGGGCTCTGCTGGTGGGAACGTGAAAAGGTGCAGCCGCTGGGGAAACAGTGTGGAGGTTCCTCAAGATTAAACACCGTGAGCACGTGGCCCAGCGACCCCACTCCTGGGTCTGTACTCAGAGGAGCCGAAAGCAGGGGCTTGAAGAGACATTTGCACAGCCACGTTCACAGCAGTGTCCCTCCCGACGGCCGACAGGTGGAAGCCACCAAGTGTCCATAGACGGATGACGGACAGCAAAGTGTGGTCTTAAAAGGAAGGAAATTCCGACACATGCCTGCAACAGGAGCATGAGTGGACTCACACGGCGTTTGTCTCTTCGAGGCTGGCTTCTTTCACTCAATACAACGTCCTCCAGCAAAGCCTCACTCACTCGAGGTCCCTGGAGGAGTCAGACTCAGAGACAGAAGGTAGGACAGTGGTGCCGGGGCCTGGGGAGGGGAGGGGCTTCGTGTTTCATGGGGACAGAGTGTCGTTTTGGGAAGAAGAGTTCTGGAGGTGGGTGGCGATGGTGGCACAACAATGTGAATGTTCGTAATGTCACTGAATTGTCCATTTAAAAAATGGTTAAGATGGTAAATTTTACGTTATGTTGATTTGTTACAATAAAAAATACCAAAACAAAACAAAACAAAACAAAAAAGCCCAACTACAAGACCAACGAGCCAAGCCTGCCTGCAGCATGTGGGGGCGGGTTCCCCCACACCCGGCAGCCTCAAAGGAGGGCCAGTGGCTTCTTCGGTCCAGGCTGACGACAGGTTCCACATTTCAGGGGACAATCGGGGGAGCTCCCGTCTGGCCCTGGGCTGACCGAATGGCCCCTGGCAGGCAGAACTGGCCACCCCGTGTGGCTCTTCTCCCCATCCTTGTCGAGGCCCTCGGAGCGCCCCTCTCCCCACACACCCCTGTGCACCCCTGTGCTGGGCTGTGGCTGCCACTGGCCTCCTGCCGCTGGCCGAGGGCAGGCACTTTGCAGGTGATGATGCTGGTCCGCCTCACGTCTGAGTCTCCTTGGGCGGCCCTGAGTACCTGCAACCCCCTGGACAGCTCCCTTCTCAGGGCCACCCCTCTGCAGGTTTCTCCTCAGCCTTATTCCAGCACAGCTGACGGCGTTTCATGTGAGGAGGGGTCTGCCTGCCTCCCCAGCCCACCCCATTAGTCCTGTGCGTTTTCTGCTTGACGGAACGGCATGGGTGGCAGATGATGTGTGTTTATGCAGCACCAGGAGCCCTGGGAGAGCTGGGTCCCTGCGGGACGAGGCTCGGGGCCCTCGCTGGGCACAGGACCCCCTCCGCCCACCGTGCCCCTCTCAGGGGGCGGCATTTTCACCCCCCGCCCCCCGCCATACCAGAGATGGGAGGACGGCGCTGGGCCTGCTTAGCCAGCAGGGCCTCTGGGTGGTGGCGAGTGGTGAGGACGGTCCCTGGGCCGTAAGGATGAGGGGCAGTGGTTTAACTCCCAGACTCTGCAATGTACTGAGGTCCTGTGACCCAGTGGAAGAGGCCTCAAGAAATCACTGGGGACTGGGGGCGACGGGGTGGGGTTGCACCAGGCGTCACTGTGCGTGAGATTGGAGCAGCCTTGTGTCCGTCACGGCATGGCGGGTGACGTGGGTGCTGCACAGCTGTGCCGTGACTGAGGGGACAGCAGGAAGAGCCTGCGAACAGAGTGTGACTCCACCAACCAGGAAGACCGGAGAGGGACGCTGGGCGCGGGTGCTGGCCGTGTCCCTTGGGGGGCTCCTCCCGGGCGCCTGGCCTCCCTTCTCTGCAAGCCCCTCGCCACTTTGGGATTGTCACGCCTCACCTGGTGCCCAGATGCCGCAGGCTCCCGAGATTCCATTCAAGGAGTGTTTGGGTGGAAAGCCCCTCCCGCCCCTCCTGCCCAACACACTGGGAATTCCTGAAATACAGGATCCGTGCACCCCAAGGTATGAGTTACACTGAAGGGTGGAAGCAGCACAAACACGTCCGAGGCTGGCGGGTGTGCGACCGGCAAACCCCTTCCCGAGCCGCCAAGGCCCGTGGAATGTGCCAGACCTTCCACACTGCTGCCCACGCCAGGGTCCTCCTCCCACCCGCCCACGCTGGGTCCCCCTCTCTGGCACACTGCCTGCACCAGGTCCCCTTCTCTGCCCCCCACTCCGCACCCCCACACTACTGTCCACGCTGGTCCCCTTTCCCCGGCTCATGGCACTGCCCTGTTGGGGCCTGCAGGCCTCGGTGGCCCCTCCATGGTCAAACCCTGCCTGCCCGGCCGGGGTGGGGCAGGGGGCACCTATGTCTCCTCTGCTGGCAGCCCCATCATACCCGCTCTCTCTGCTCTGCCCGTGCCGGTCCAGGGGGAGCTCACATCCAGTTTCCTGGGACTTCACTTGTCCACAACTGTGTGACGCTGTCCAAGGGCCTGCTGTGTGCCCACTGTGTGCCCGCTGTGTGCCATCTCCAGGATACACTGAGGAGCACCCCCGCCCAGGGGGACAGTCTGACCTGTGACCTTCTGGCTTCATCCCCTCCCAACTGCCATTGCTCACAAGATGGGGGCCCCTCACCTCCTCCCCTAGCGGGGAAAGGATGGTCACCTGCACCCCCTTAGGGAGGATGGGGCCGCTGGGTCTCCTGAGAGAATTCAGGGGACAGTTGTGAGACTCTTGCGAAAGTGGGGCTGGAGGAACATGAGAATCCAACTCAGACAGTGACCCAGGGTCAAGGTGAGGGCTGCAGGACCAGCTCCTCTGCAGCAATGCCCGTTCCTACTGGTCAGAGTCTCCTGGAGACGGAGGGGCCATGCAAAGGGCAGTGTGTGTGTGTGTGTGTGTGTGTGTGTGTGTGTGTGTGTGGAGGGGGGGTGAGGTGGGCCGAAGGTACGTGGGTCCATGGCTCTGAGCAACAGTCCCAGGGGAGAGGCACACATGTCTGGCCAACCCCAGAGGACAGGGCTGGGCCAGGTTGGAGACAGGAACTCTGTCTCTTGCTTGACTGTGTCACGGACTCCCCTGTAAGGTGGTGAGCTCCCCGTCCTAGGAGTCATGAAAGCAGAGGCCACTCACTGGGGCTGCAGCTCCTCAGAAAGGCCTTCAAGTACCAGGAAGTGAGTGCCATGGCTCCTGGCTCTGCCCACAGCTCCCCTGGTGTCTGAGGCCCACGCATGGGTGGGGCCAGGGGCTCCCCTGGAGGGCTGTGCGCGCTCTCTGTGATAGCTGTCTGGGGGCTGTCTCCATAGTCACTGTTTGCAGAAGCTCC